TATAAACTTACAAGAAATTGCTACAAACTAACAAGAAATTATTATAAACTAATAAGAAATTGCTACAAACTAACAAGGAATGGCTACAAATCGGGGGGGGGGGAGAAAAACAATCAACAATAATTTAAGATTAACTGAAGATATTTTTTATTGAGAGGGAAATCATTTCTAATAAATATTTATTAAATCGTAAACCGATAGGACAGATGGGGGCTGGAATTTCCTTGGAAGATTTTTTTCACCCCGTCTGGTTGATTAAAAAACTTTTTAAAACTCTCACGTCCAGTTGAGATGCCCAACTTCCCACCCCCTCTCAACCCCCTCTCTCTCCTCCCTCCCCCCGCAGCTTCACAGCCCTGTTTGAGGTCACGGCTCACAGACTCCAGACCAGGACTTGCAGGACACTTTACAACAATAGCGGATAAGGGAGGGAGGGTGGGAGAGATTCAATACTGGCGACATTCCGTCTGAACCATTTCTTTACTCTTTCCCCGTGTTCTTTGTTCAGCTGCGAAAACTATCAGTGCTTCCTACAGCCCTCAACAATGCCCAGACCAGATGGGACTCTCCTCCCCACCCCCCACCCACCCCAACCCCTCTCTCTCTCTCTCTCTCTCTCTCGCTCTCTCTCTTTCTCTCCCCCCCCCCCCCCCACCCCTCCCCTCTTTATAACTCATCTTGTGTTTACAGCACATCAGACAAAATAACACACATTCGAGCCTTTGGCGAGTAGAGAAGTTGCATTCCCGCACTTGTTCGATTGTTAAAGGTCTTTTGAGAAGTTCGAAAAACTTTCGAAAAGTTTCCCCGTTTCAATGCAAAGTTTTAATGATAAGCCCAATCCTTGAATTAGATCTGGCGCTTATTCACCCCCTAATTTAATAAATAATCATAATCCTCGCATTTGATACAGCGCCTTATCACATCGTTGAGATTTTTCAAAGCGCTTCACAGGATATACTGTAAAGTGAATTGACTGTATTTTGTGGGCGAAACGCGGCAGCCAATTGTGCAAAGCTCTCTGACAAAAATGCTACAGGACTCCCAACTTGTTCAAAGCTAAATAACAACAAGAAGTTACACCCTGTACAGCGCCATTCACATCAGAAAGAAGTCCCGGGGCGCAGGACAGTCAGGGATTTTGGACCCGAGCTGGGAGTTGTGCTAGGAGAAGGGGAAGAGGGCAGAGGTGGCTGGGGTTGGAGGGTGGCCGAAGGCACGGTCGAAGAGAAAGGCCTTCTGAAGTGTAGTGACTGGATTTTGTTGGGCAGATAGATGCACCCAGCTTGGGCACAGCTGGGTCCCCACAAACAGCCACAAAGTGAATAATAATAATCCTTGCATTTGATATAGCAACTTATCATGTCGTTGAGACGTCTCAAAGCGCTTCACATAAGGAACAAGTCTTAAAGTGCTTTGCAGGATTTTATGGTAAACGTGTAGTGACTGTGTGTTTTGTGAGTGAATGCTATCATGGAATGCTGTCCAGGTCAGAGATGTGAGTGTTGTTACAATATTAATAATAATCCTTGCATATGATATATGGCACCTTATCATGTCGTTGAGACATTTCAAAGCGCTTCACAGGATATACGGTAAAGTGGAGTGACTGGGTATTTTGTGGGGGAAACACGGCAGCCAATTGCACACTGCAGTGTCCCACAAGCAGTTGTGGATTGTGTGACCAAATTTTATTTGGTGGATTGTTGGCCAGAAGGGAGAAACTCCCTTCTCGTTTCGAATAGTGCCGCAGGATCTTTAATGTTCACCCTAACAGGCAGACGGGGAACTCGATTTAACATCTCATCCGAAGGATGGCAGTTCCGACAATGCAACAGCCCTCCCCGGCGCTGCATTGGAGCATCAGTTAAAACTGTGCGATTCCAAATCGTGATGTGGGGCTTGAACCCACAACCTTCTGGCTTAGAGGTGAGGGAGCTACCACTGCGCCAGGCTGACACACAACATGGTAAGTCTCTGACTAAACTTGAGTGAAGTCCCATTCGGTTCATGGAGGGTCCCCTGTAAATGACAGAAAATTATGACTGTTTATTCTGCGACGTACAATCAACCCTGTGACAAACGTTGAGATAAGAGCAAGGGCGGTGAGGGTGAGGGGGGGTAGCAGGAGGAACAGGGTCAGGTAGGTGCAGAGATCAGGGCCAGTAAAGCCTAACCACTGGTGACTCTGTTTCAGGAGATTTTGAAACATTTTGCTCTACACCAGTGTGTCAATTATTGACAGCGTCACCCATTAACAGAGGCAGAGAGAGAGAGTTTATCAGGGAGTATATTTGTGACTTACTTTATACCCAATTACAACTTGGAAAAAATATACTGTGTAGAGCGGGTCTGCCACAGGCAAAAATTCGCCATTCACATTGCACAGATATAATATAATAATAATACGTGCATATGGTATAGCACCTTAGCACGTCATTGAGATGTCCGAAAGCGCTTCACAGGATTCAGTGTAAAGTGGATTGACTGTATCTTGTGGGTGAAATGCAGCAGCCAACGGAGCACAGCAGTGTCCCGTAAACAGTCGTAGATTGAATGACAAAATCATTTATTTATTTGTTTATTGAAGGGGTTATTAATCCCAGAAAGCGATCCCCCAATCCTCCAGACCAATTGACCTGCCACCGCTCGGCTGTTTGCAGGACCTCGCTGTGTGCAAAAAATGGCAGCTGCGTGTGTTTCCTTCCAAAATAAACGTCACTAGACAACAATAATTAGTGTGGGTGCGGTGTTTTGACCTTACAGGTTTCTGCATCAGTGCAAGTGCTTTCTCTTTCTCTCTTTGCTGTAACATGTACACCTTGCGAATGTACAAGAGGAGGTTAACATTTTCTTCATAGGGTTAAGGATAAGTTTGCAGAAAGATGGTTTTATAATAATAATAAATCTTGCGTTTGATACAGCGCCTCATCACGTCTTTGAGATGTCTCGATGGGCTTCACAGAATACACTAAAGGGAATTGACCTGTATATTTTAAGTGAAATGCGCCAGTGAATTGCACACAGCAGAGTCACCAATTATTTTTTGTTAGGGATTATTATCTCCGGAAAGTGATCCGCAAATCGACTAACAACCGAGTTCCTACTTACTGTTGGGTAAACAGAGGCGTGTGTGTGGAATAAGGAAACTTGCCTAAGGTTTCGCCCTGACCTGTGGAATCAAACCCGGGTCCTCTCGCTTGCTGAAGGAGCGCGCTAACCACTACACTACGGGACTCTGGAATGGCGCTTCCTCATGCTGCATGGTTTGCCCTGAGCCGCAGTGGAGCCCGTCAGTCAGTCTGACCCTCACCCACACACACAAGAGTCCCAGCCTAGGGTGCTTGAACCGCCTGCCTTCTGATTCACAGCTCCTTCCCTGAGCCCAGTTCCCACACAAACTATCAAAGCACTTAATAGCTTATAATTAGCTCGCCATCTGGTAGCAGGACTCAGTAGCTGTGCACTGTTGGCATGCCCAGATCTATTGAGAGGAGAGATATTGTGCGATGGAATGCTTTCCACTCCAGTACCCATTGCCTGGTGAATTGGTGTTAGCACAATGTCAGCCGATGTGTGCACAATGAGACCCAGTGTCACTGCTTGTAGTCGGCCCAGTAACTGAACTCTTCAGTGCCATAAACAACACCGAATCTAGTTAATACCAGCTTAATGATTGAGTTAAATGTACTCATTACCACAGAGCCAGTGATCTCCGTACAATGACTGGTCAAAGCAATATGGAAACTTTTTTACATTCATGGCTTTTACATTCACGAAACCTCGCACCTGCTCGTGGGGGCACTTTAGTCTCAGTCTCGCAAAACGCTCTGGTGATTTTTATTGTAATGTAAAATTAATCTTTACACCCGGTGATTAAGGTATCACCCTGTGACTCAGGTGACTTCTGGCAAACACGTGCACATGTAACCTGGCCCTAGGTTTTATGTGAGCTCAGGCAGGTGATCGGAGGTGTGTTGTACAGACTAGCTGGGCTGCAACAATAACTTTGGTGGATATAACACCTTTTACGTACAGGGTGTTCACAAAATCCTGTTACCCACCACCCTCTTTATTTTCTTACAAAGAATTTTTATTTTCTGTTGCAGATGAGTCGAGTGTAACAATGTCTGATACAACAACAACTTGCATTTATACTGGAGTCCAGCAGCTCAGTGGTTAGAGCACTCGCTTTGCAAGCGAGAGACCTGAGTTCAATTCCAGGCAGAGGGTGAAACCTTGGGCAAGTTTCCTTACTCCACACAGAGCCTAATAATAATCCCTCCAAAAAAAAACAATAATAAATTAGTCATTTTCAATCTACGACTGTGTGTGGGACATTGCTGTGTGCAATTGGCTGCCACATTCGCCCACAAATATACAGTCAATTCACTTTACAGTGTGTTCTGTGAAGCGCTTTGGGACGTCTAGAAAACATGAAAAACGCTATATCAAATGCAAGGATTATTATTATTATTATTATTATTATTATACAGCGCCCTTCATGCGAGGTAGCGTCCAAGAAAGTTTGACAGTGGTGGCGTCTGACCCTGAGCTGGGGGAGAAGGAGAGGGGAGGTGAACCGTAAGCATGATCAAAAAGGAAAGTATTTAGGCGGGATTTGAATGTGGGGAAGGAGGGGGCAAGGCTGAGGGATTGAGGGAGAGAGCTCCAGAGTTTCACGGCGTAGTGGCTGAAGGCACGACCATCGATGGTGGAGCAGGAGGGGATGAGGGACGAACAGGAGGCTGAGCGGAGGCAGCAGGTAGGGGAGTGAGGTAAGGTGGGGAGGTGCGAGGGCAAGAAGGGATTTGAAAATGAGTGAGAGGATCTTGAAGTCGATCTGTTCAGTAATTGGGAGTAAGGCAAGGACTGGGGTGATGGGGATACAGAGTTTTGTGCAGGTTAGTATCTGCGCAAGGGAGGGAATTAATTGAATATTGTGTATGGTGAAACGGGGGGTACCAGCAAGGAGGGCAACTTATACCATTAACCTACAGGAACATAGAAACAGGAGGAGGCCATTCAGCCCCTCAAGCCTGTTCTGCCATTCTATTAGATCATGGCTGATCTGTACCTCAACTCCAATTACCCGCCTTTGCCCCATATCCCTTGAAACCCTGATCTAACAAAAATCTACCCACCTCTTGAAATTTTGAATGGATCCAGAATCCACAACCTTTTGGGGGAGAGAGTTCCAAATTTCCACGAGCCTTTGGGTGAAAATTTCCTCCTCATGTTACAGAAGATGTTACACTGAACATGGCAACGGATCATTATTGGTTAGGAAAGTGATGGTGCTCACAACACACACACACAAATTCTCAAAGACTGAGCCAGGAGAGAGGACGGTGCAGGTAGGGTAACAGAGCTGGAGGAGATTGCAGAGGTAGAGAGAGAGGCCAGATTGTGCAGGCCTGCAATTGGTGTTTGCAGGGGTGAATAAGCTAAAGCAGCTAAAACTGTACAGCTTGACATTGCTAGCACTGTTCTGGGAAGCTTTCTCGCTGCTTGTGCAGCTAGGATCACCCTACCCATTAGGGCTTTGGCTGCAGGGTTAACAGGAGCTGAGTGGGATGATTCCTTGTCCCCAGTGACTGGTTAGCCCTTCCAGGTCCTGCCGATGAACCAGGCTGGGCTGTGCTGTCATCAGCAGTGCCCTGGAGTATTGCAGACCCCCCCCTGGCTCAGGAACCAGACTATCGAGATTGCCGCAGAGGCCCGGCTCGATTCTAATATTCCATTGTCAAACATGTCATCTTGGGACCAGTTCAGCTCCAAGGAGACCCCACTTACTCTCCCACACCCCACCCCAGGAGGATAGTAGAGAGTGACATGAGTGAGTGAGTGAGTGAGAGTTAGTGAGTGAATGAGTGAGTGAGTGAGAGAGTGGGTGAGTGAGTGAGTGAGTGGGTTAGTGAGAGAGTGGGTGAGTGAGTGAGCAGGTGATTTGGTTGGTGTTTGGGGGTGAGGGTTAGTGAGATGAGGAGCAGAGGTTGCTGGAAGCATCGCCCCAGCCTCAGACTCCCTCAGCGCAGAGACTAATGACTTAATTACCATGTGAATTCTGGGAAAGGACTCCTGCTCTGAGCAGCGACAGACCCTCTACACACACGGCATTCACTCAGCTCCAAAGGAGGATCATAGTTTTTCCCAGTGGAAAGCCTGGTAGCCAGCTATTGATCTGAATGCTTTTCACCCCACCGCATCCAATGGAACCTACAGCTTAGTTACTGCATTCACTGCTCGACCAGACCACACAGAGCACTGCCTTTTGCTTCTCAGGCCCCGGGGCGGGGGGTTGGGAGGTGGGGATGTGAACTTGTGACAGGTTTAATTTTTTTATGTAAAAAAATAATAATCCTTGCTTTTGATATGGCGCCTCATCACTTCATTGAGACACCTCAAAGCGCTTCACAAAATATACTGTAAAGTGGAGTGACTTTGTACTTTGTGGGCAAAACCCAGCCAATTGTGCACAGCAGCGTCCGACAAACAGTGGTGGATTGAGCGACCAATATTCTTTGTTTTAATACAAGGATTTTTATCATTATTGTTAATCATTATACTGCATCAGAAATAGGAAAATGTTCTCGATACACAGGACAGCATCTGAAACAAGATTTGAATGAGAATATAAATAATAATTATAATCATTATTCTTATATTTGATCCTGCAACTACAACGTCAACCCTTTGCAGGTAATCATTGGCAAATGTTTATATGTCGGTAAAAACACTAGAACTATTTTGGGCACAGTGAGATGCTATAAACAGTTGTGAAATGAATGATTCATCTTATCTGGGGGATTTTCAGCCAGGACACCAGGAGAGAGAGAGAAAGAAATTCCTTTTTCCTTCCCAATAGCACCGTGGGATCTCGAATATCCACCATAAACTGGCAGACAGGACTTCGGTTAAACATCTCATCCGAATGACGGCACCTCTAACATTGCCGCGTCCCCCCAACACTGGGCTGGAGTGTCAGCCTGAACTGTGAGCTCAAGTCCCAACGCAAAGCCGAAACCCACAATCTTCTGACACAGAGGCGAGAGCACTATTGACTGAGCCAAGGCAGAGTAACAGCGGGAGTGAAATCGAACAGTTATCCCTTCGAGTAACCCTGACACTAAACACAATCAATCTTCAATAATAATAATAACAATTCTTGCATTTGATGCAGCGCCTCATCACGTCTTTGAGGCGTCTCAAAGCGCTTCACAGAATACATTGTAAAGTGAATTGACTGTATATTTTGTGGGTGACACCCGGCAGCCAATTGCGCACAGCAGCGTCCCCAGAATCAGCCGTGGAATTGAGTGAACAATGTTTTTTGAAATGAAACTTGCCCAAGGTTTCAACCCACCCGGTAATCGAACCCGGGTCCTCTCCATTGCGAGGCGAGCGTGCGAACCAATACTCTACAGGACTCCACTACAGGACTCGATTTGTAGCTACTACATTGGCCTAATTTTGAAACAATGGGTTGTGGGCAGAGGAGAGACGTTATAACTTGTCACTTGACTCCCCCTTTTCCTCCGCTCTTTATTATTAATAATAAAATAATAATGATCCTTGCGATTGATATATTGGATTATCAGGTCAATCACATTTTTTTAACTGAGGTGTGAGACTGCCATCCTTTTAACCTGACAGCTGTCAGTCTCCACACATGAAGCCCAAACCCCCACACTGTAATAAGTGACTGAACCCTGCCAGCCAGGCTGAACAAGGCCAATGTAATAAGGAACACAACAAAAATATAGCCACATTTACCAAGCAGCGCATTGTTAATCTTGTATTTTATATGAATTTATTTGCCTCCTCTTTCTTCTTCTTTATTGCGACGTCACCGCATCAAATGTAAGGATCAGGGTAATAATCCTCGCATTTGATATTGTAGTTTATCGTGTCGTCAAAATAGCTCAAATGTGCTTCACAGGAGTTTCATTGTATAGTGTAGTCACTGTGTATTTGTGGGCAAATTTCACAGCCAATTTGCACCCAGTGACATGCCACAAACCAGTCCTGAAATGGGATGAGCAATTTTTTTAATCTAAGGGATTTTTGGTCAGGATAATCTTTTTTGAATAAGGACTTGAGATCTTTAATGTCACCTGAACAGGGAGACGGGACCTCAGTTGAACGCCTTATCTGAAGAGTACAATCTGTCAATACAGTGTTTACCTTCTCCTCTCCCTCCCCCACCTGGTACTGATGTGTGCAATTCTCTGTCGCATATTACCCACAAAATACACAGTATATTTTCTCTGAAGCACTATATCAATTGCAAGGATTATTATTATAATTATTACTTTATAGTAATAAGTCCTGTAGCTCAGTGGTTAGAGCAGGGCAAAATGTTGGGCAAGTTTCCTTACTCCGCACACCTCTGTTTACCTAGCAGTAAGTAGGAACCCGGTTGTTAGTCAATTGGCGGATGGCTTTCCAGGGGTAATAATGCCTTCAAAATAAATAATAATAATTTGGTCATTTGATCCACGACTGTTTGTGGGACGCTGCTGTGAGCAATTGGCTGCCGTGTTTCGCCCACAAAATATACAGTCAATTCACTTTACAGTATATTCTTTATAGTATATTCTTTGAGATGTCCCATAGAGTGCCAAATCAAATGCAAGGATTATTATTATTATTACTTTAAAGGAGCATCAACCTCAACTCTGAGCTCAAACTCTCGACTTGGGGCTTGAACCCACAACTCTCTGGCTCAGAGAAGTACCGTCAGAGCCAGCCTGACGTCCTGCTCTTTTTCCAGCTCTCTGGCGACTGCGTTGTATTGGCTCGACTTCTTTTGGGCAGTGAATCATTTCACAGGCCCAAAGAACAACACACGGTTCGGAAGCACTTTACTGCTTTTCTAAAAAAAAATCCGTGTGTGGGGCTTTGCTGAGGGGATATTTCTTCCTCCTTTCTCTCCCTCTCACTCTTTCTTCCTTAACCTCAGAAGCACTTACTCACACTGAAATATCCCTTTTCTTTTCGCCCTCTCTCTCTCTCTCTTTCATTCCCCTTTGAACGCTGGGAACCTGACACTGCCGTTACCAGATGGTGAAGAACCAAAGGAGAGGACGATTTTCTCAGGCCTCCACCACAAGGAAGTTTTATTCTTCAGATGCTAAGCTCCTTCAAATGCAAATGGGGGAAGTTTTGCTCGAACCATTAGCATGACAATGATGGGAAAGCTGCAGACTCCAACTAGCCTCTATCACCCTAATGAAAGATTTCAAGGTTCACAGTACCAGCAAAACAGTAGTGACTCTCTCACTCTCTCGCTCTCGTTCTCTCTGCCTTTCCAGATTTAAACAGGACATTCTGAAAGCAGGCTATCAAAATACACAGTCAATTCATTTTGCAGGATAGCGCTTTGAAACGTCTCAGCGACGTGATGAGGCGCTATTATATCAAATGCAATGATTATTATTATTATGACTTCAAATTATGAGGTATGCACGGCAATGTAATGGGGAGGGAAGGAAGTGTGAGAGGTGGGGCTGTCAGGGGTTGGAGAGGTGGAGATAGCTACAATCTTTTCTTAATAATATATACTTTGAAACCTTGGGTAAATTTCCTTACACCGCCCGCCTCTGTTGAGCCTAGCAGTAACAACAACAACTTGTCTTTATACAGCACCCCTCACGTAGGGTAGCGTCCCAGAGCGCTTGACAGTGTTAAGTAAGTAAGCAAGTAAGTAAGTAGGAACCCAGTTGTTAGTCAATTGGTGAATCGCTTTCTGGGGGTAATAATCCCTTCCGAAAAAATAATAATTTGGTCACACAATCTACGACTGTTTATGGGACGCTGCTGTGTACGATTGGCTGCCATGTTTTTGCCCACAAAATATACAGTCAATTCACTTTACAGTGTATCTTGTGAAGCGCTTTGAGACGTCTCAAGGATGTGATAAGGCCCTAAATCAAATGTAAGGACTATTGCTATTGTGACTTCCAACCAGGCAAGGCTCCCCCACCCCCCCACCCCCAGTACTATACTGGGACACCAGGCTGCACTGGGATCTGGCTGATTTGAACTGTGTGAGCGCACGGGGTGAGAACCAGAGCAGGAAGCTATTTATAAGCAGACGGAAGATCAGATATGGCCGAAAAAAATAACTGATAATTTATCTGA